GGAGCCCTGCCCCGACGCCTACTCCAACCTCATCATCCTCGCTGTGCCCAACAGGGTGAGCGGCCCCGGTGTGTGCCACCCGCCACCCACTGCCTGCTCCCCCATCCAGCAGCACTCACTGCCCTCCTCCTCCCCGCTGCAGGATGCTGGCGAGGAGTCCTGTGCACTCATCTGCCAAGTGTTCCAGATCATCTATGGGGACCAGAGCATTGAGTGCGTGGATCGTGCCGGGTACCACTACACCTCCACGCCCACACGGCCCTGGCTCTCCAGCAGGAGTGAGTGGCTGGGGGCAGGAGTGGGGGCACCAAGTGGGGTGGCATGGGACTGATGGGTGGGGGTTCATGGACACTGTATGGGGCTGACAGGTCAGGGTGCATGGGCACAGTGTGCGGGGTTTGGCCTCACTATGAGATCTCGGCTCTCCCTCCCCAGGCGAGAGCTGCCGCACAGATGGGACGTATGGTTACGATGCCGACTACAGCTGCTGCAGCTCCTTGTGAGTCTGGCTCCCCCCGGGGTGCCCCTGGACTGAGGGGAGGTGCCCTTGCCCTTGGGTGGGTGCCCCTGCTCTGGGTGGCTGCCTGTCCCAGCTGCAGTGGTGCCCCAGCCCTGTCCCACGGTGGGTGCTGTGCAGTGGATGGAGGGCAGCCAGGCACACTGGGGGTTCAGGGACTCGCTGATCCTCATCTTCCCACAGCAATGGCTCCCACGAGACGTTCGAAGCGTATTACAGTGGCACCTCCTCGCCCTCCTTCCACCGCTCCCACCACAGCCTGGCCACTGCTTGCAGCGGCAGCGACCAGAGCGGTGCAGGGCTGGAGCAGCTGCAGGACTACATGATGACGGTGAGGGCACAGGGATGGGCACGGAGATGGGCAGCAGGCCAGCAGTGCCAGCGGCTGGGGCAGGGGGCAGCAGGCAGGTCTGAGCCCCCTGCACCAGAGAACAGGTGGGGGGACGAGACTGTGTGTTGCCAGTGTCCCCAACCCTGACCTGTCCCTGTGTCACTGCAGCTGCGCAACAAGCTGTCATCACAGGAGATCCAGCAGTTTGCCCTCCTGCTCCGTGAGTACCGGCTGGGCACGCCGGTGCAGGAGTACTGCACCGAGCTCCTGCGCCTCTACGGGGACCGCAGGAAGTTCCTCCTCCTGGGTGAGTGTCTGCAGCCATGCTGTGTTACCCTGCTGATGTCTGTGCAGCCCTCGGGGTGGGGTGCTGGTGCTGGGTGTGCTCCAGGGAGTGTCAAGACCCTGGTGCTTGTGGGGGACAGGATGGGATGACCCCCTGCCAGCAGCCTGTGGGGTTCCCCTGACAGGGGCAGCCTCCTGAGGCTCGTGGTGCCCATGACAGGAATGAGGCCCTTCATCCCTGACCAAGACATCGGATACTTTGAGACCTTCCTAGAGAGCATCGGGATCCGGGAGGGCGGGATCCTCACCGACAGCTTTGGCCGCATCAAGCGCAGCATGAGCAACACGTCGGCCTCGGCTGTGCGCAGCTATGACAGCTGGTCCCTGCGCTCCGAGTCCGAGTCCTTCAACCGCATGATCACAGACATCACCCACGACATCGAGGCGCTGGCGCGGGATGAGGAGGAGGAGGAGGAGGAGGAGGACAACTACCTGTGAGCCACTGCCAAAACGCAGCAGTCACCAATGTGACTTCAAGCTGAGACTTGGAAGGTGCCCAGCTCTGCCCCAGCACGTAGGAGGGGGGACACTGTCCCCACATTTGTCACCATGGGAGGGGACAGGGCTCTGCACTGCCCTACCACCTCTCAGCAGGGCTGTTGGAATCACAGGGCAGCTGTGGCTGTAGGGGAGCCACATATCCTGTAATTTCTGCAGATTTCAATTAAATGCTGGGGCTGGAAGCAGAGCAGGTTCTTCCCCAAGTAGAGGCTGTATCAGGGTGCAGGGGCTGCTATGGTGGGGGGCTGTGCTGAGGCTGGGGGCTGCTGGGCTGGGCTGGGGCACCTGTCCACTCCAGCACCACATGCAGGTCACTCCCAGAGTCTGGGTGCTCCTGGCTGTTCCAAGCTTGCCCCAGCAATATGAGGGGCCAGCGAGAGTGTGCTGGGACAAGAAGGGGCCACAGCTGGCCTGCTGCTGCCTGTGACGCCTGTGTGACACTCGTCCAGCCGCGGCTGCGGGTGTTTCACAAAAGGAAGTTCCTGCCCCGGGACCCGGCTTCCTGCAGCACCGCCCTGCAGCCCCTCCACCGCCGAGGGACAGGGCCTTGCTCCCCGCTGCCTGATGGACCTCAGCTGATGTTCCCTGGCCTCTCTACCCCATCTAATGTCCCATGGATGCTGGCCCTTGGCTGATGGCCCCGAGCTGATGTTCTTTGGCAGGGGACTATAGGACGGCGCTGCAGCCCCAGACTGGTGTGTGGGCAGCAGATGCCGGGGCTACCACAGCAAATTATTTTTTCTCTTAAGAAATTTACATATGCAAACCCCCATGAGGTGAGTTGCTCTTGCGCCCTGGCTGCTTCCTCTGACACCCCAAGCCCAAGCAGCGCCGTGGTCAGGGGCATGGCAGAGCCATGGGTCCCCTTGCTGATTCTGTCCCTATCCCAAATTCAGGGGTGCTCTGGGCAGAGCAAAGGCTGGAATGCTCTGGGGCTGGATAGGGCACCAAGAGGAGTTTAGGCATGGTAATACCAGGGCCAGCAGGGGACCTGGGGCACCTCCACCCCTCTGAGCTGGGCTTCACAAACCCCATGCCCCCCACCTCCCATGTCCTGCACCCCATCATGGGATGCTCAGGGGTGTCTTTTCTTCTTCCTGGGGATGGAGACCCAGGCTGACTCCGTGGTCTGTGCTCCACTCGTGCCCCCCACTGCCCATCAGGTGAGGAAACATCCTGGGGGCTACTCTGTGGTCCCAGGACCCAAACCCGCGCAGGGTCCCGGCGGCAGTGGGTGGGGAGAAGGGCTCTGACACCCGTCGGGGGGACCCCAAGGACAGCGAGGTGACGAGAGGCTGGGATGTCCTTGCGGTGCTTTTGGAGGGGTCCCCGCTGTCACGCCGGTACAGGAGGAATCGGCCGCGTCCGCCCCGTCCGGCAGCACCGGCGGAGTCGGGGCGGGGCCGTTCCGTGAGGGGCGCGGTCTTATGGGGGGAGGTGGGAGCACAGCCGGGCAGAGCAAAGCGGCGGCGGCAACCCGGGCTCCCGGACCGGGACTGGGAGCAGAACGGGGACGGGGACGTGCCCCGGGAGGGCGGCAGAGGTAAGAGCTCGGGGAGCGGAGCCCCGAGAGCCGCGGGACAGGGCGGAGGAGCCCCGGGACCGGGCACGGGCAGCCCGGTGGGTCCGTCCCTGCGCCGGGACGGTCCCGCTCAGAGCGGCGGTCCCTGGGTGACAGGGATGGGGCGATGGCAAGGAATCCAGGGGGTCTCGGCTGGGCACGGTGTAGCCCCGACGAGGGGGTCCCTTTTAGTGGCCTTGCAGGGGCTGCCGAGGACTTGCTGCTGCCCTCCCCGACCGAGGGCACGGGGCAGCAAGGACAGGGGGCTGCGGGCAGCCGTTCTCCCGGAGTGATGGGCACTCGCATCCAATCTGGTCCTCCCCCTGTGACTGGGGACATTGCACAGGCCCTGGGACACGGCTCTCGGGAGTGGGATACATCAGGAACGCCAGCTATGCCACGTGAGCCAGTGGGATTGGCACGGCCACACGGTTGGTGCTGAATAGGTGCCAGCAGGACCCTTGAACCCTCGGGGATGGTCGTGTTTCATGATGCCCTGACCCAGTGTGGGACAAACACAGCCAGCACTGGCCGTGGCACTGGTGTGGGGCACAGCTGAGTTTAACCCAGGTGCCGTGTGGGTTTGCCAGGATGGATCCAGCACAGTCCAGAGCCTGTGCCCAGTGAGGGGGGCAAGCTTCACAGCTGCCACTGCTGCTCCTGCTCTGCCCTGGGCTTTGGCACACGGGGAAGGATGAGGAATGGGGTGTTGATATGACAGTGATGTCCCTGGAGAGTCGTGGAAGTGCAACTGTGCTGTGCACATCGAGGGCTCAGCCCTGAGCTTCCTCCTTCACTGTCACCACCAGCACCTTCTCCTTTCTCAGCACCCAGGTCTCTCCGGTCAAGGGAAGTTCATTTGCGAGGGGTTTCCCACTCTTGCTGCTTCCTGAAGCATTTTTTTTCCCACTGAGTTTCTTGGGGAGCTGGAGAAAGTTGAGAATTTCCCTTCACCCTGGGCTGGCTGTTCGAGACAGCTCCACCCAGCAGAGAGCAGGGGAGCGTGGTGGGGAGCAGTGACCCGTGGTGGGGAGCAGTGACCCATGGCGGGGGGGCCACAGGCACCAGCAGTGCTGTGTGGGGAGTCCCGAGCTGCGGGGGAGACCACCGTGATGAGGGTCCCACTTTGCAGAAGACACCAAGTGGCTCTCTGCTGCCACGGTGCCCACTGGCTGTAGCCTGTTCTGAACTGGGGAAGAGCTGGGAAGTTGCTCCATGGCAGCTGCTGTTGTCTGCCCAAAATTTGCCTGCTGTGACAGAACGGGGCTGGAGCAGGGCTTTCACCTCTGTCGCAATGGCCTCACTTCCCCTCCCTCGGCTGCAGCATGGGCTGTGTGAGGTCAAAGGCAGCTGATGTCCAAGAGAAGACGGTAAAAACTGATCCTGACCCTGATCCCGACCCCGGCATCCAGCAGGGCCACTATGTGAGGGACCCCACGGCCGCCAACAGGAGGGTGAGTGGGAGCTGCTGAGTGAGCCGGGGGTTCAGGGCTGAGCCATCATGGGGGGCTCAGCCCCTCTCCTCCAAGGAGCTGCCAGCACTGACAGTGGGGCCAACTGTGGGTACTGGCAGTGCCTGTGCACTGGGGCAGGGACTTGGCTGTGGGGTAGGAGCCCAGGCCACACTGGAACAAAGCACAGAAAAGACATGATGGGAATCCTGGAATTATGGAGAAAGGGAGAGAAAAACTAAGGTGTTGGGAAGGGATGGAAATGCTGGTGCTGTGTGGGTTGTTGTGTCAGGTGGCGCTGGTGATGCCCCTTGGTGCCCTCCTGTCCCTGCCACTGCTGTTGAGGGCCAAGACCCCCATGGGAAACAGGTCTCTGACACCTGCAATGTCACTCTCTGGTTTTGTCCCACTTTCCAGAACACTCATGTCCCCAGTGTGGCTGTGCCCTTGCCTGAGGATGGTAGGTACAAGGGGGCTGCAAGTGGATGCAGGAGGTGGGAACGTGTGGGGTCAGTGTGGCTGGGTCCTCTCCAACCTGGGGGGAACACTGCTGATCCTTGTGGGATGGGAACTCTGGGCCCCTCGAAGGCCAGATGTGACGTGATGAAGATGGGGGTGCTGGGTGCTGCAGGGGTCCTGGCCAGTGTTCATGGCAGGAGTGGCTGGGCAGCCATCCCAGTATGGGGAGGGGTGCCCAGGGAGCTCCCTTGCTGCAGTCTCAGGGGACTGTGTGGTGCTGGCACTCTACGACTACGAGGCAATGAACGCTGGGGACCTCAGCTTCCAGAAAGGAGAGCGGCTGAAGGTGCTGGAGGAGTAAGTGCTGCTGGCATTCCCCCACCTAGGGTTTCCTGAAGGCTTGCATGGCCCTGTCAGGATTTTTTTCTGGAACTTGCTCCTGGAGGAGCTGCAGGTGCCCAGTGCCAGGTGCCATGAGCCGACCCAACGGTGTTTCTGTCACAGGTCAGGGGCCTGGTGGCAAGCGCGGTCACTGGTGACAGGACGTGAAGGCTTCATCCCCAGCAACTACGTTGCCCGAGCTGACTCCCTGGAGACAGAGGAGTGAGTCCATCCCTCTGTGGCAGATCCTGGTCCCATGGGGTGCTACACTCCCTCACCTCAACTGTCCCTATTCTCACCCACGTCCTGCCCTCAGCCCTGCCCCGCACCAGCCTGGGCTCCCCGGCAGCATTCCTTGATTCCTTTGGTTCTGCTGCAGGTGGTTTTTCAAAGGCATCAGCCGGAAGGACGCGGAGCGGCAGCTCCTTGGCCCCGGGAACATGATCGGGTCCTTCATGATAAGGGACAGCGAGACGACCAAAGGTGCAGAGAAAGGGGTGTTTGGAGCTCAGTGAGGGGGAACACCCGCCCAGGGAGCCTCCCTCACCCACATTTGCCTGGCAGAGGAGCTCAGGAGATCCCTCCCCAGGCTGGGGGCTCTGCTGTGCTGCACGCAGGGACTGGGGGGCCCGTGTCCCTGCAAGAGCCCATGGTGCTGCCACATGTCCGAGCCCCGTGGCAGGGACAGGGGGATGCACTTGAGGCTGCTTTGGGTGCTGAGGATGCCTTGGGTGTTTGGGGCACAGCCGTAGCTGGCCTGGGGCTGAAGGGGTGGCGGCAGCACGGTGGGACGGGCGCTGCTGGCTCTGCTGAGCGACAGCTCCATGAGTGCCGGGAGCATGGGATGTCCGGGCACAGCAGGGCTATGTCCCTGTGGGGGCTGCCAGCTCACCCCTCCCCAACCAGGCTGCTACTCGCTGTCGGTGCGGGACGGGGACGAGATGCAGGGCGGGGCAGTGAAGCATTACAAGATCCGAACCCTGGACAGCAGCGGCTTCTACATCTCCGCACGCAACAACTTCAACACGCTGCAGGAGCTGGTCCAGCACTACAAGGGTGAGCCCTGGCACGCCCGGCCCCACCACCACAGGTGGGGCTTTGTCCCTGAGCCAAACAGCCACCAGGCAGACAGGGGTGTGCAGATGCTGAGGGGCTCCTGCCCGACACTGCTGGGCTCCTGCCGTGGCCCCGGCTGTGACATGCAGCGATTCCCAGACCTTCCCCTGGTGCTGTGGCTTGCTGGCTGTCACTGCTGTGGGTGTTGGTGTCCCTGAATAC